AAAACTTCTAAGTCTGACAACATATTCAGCAGGCAACASTATGGAAAAATGCTTCATATACTTTCAGGTAATGGCAATCTGGCAGTATCTACCACAGTGACAGAAGCATTTATCTTATTTTAAATAAGCTTTTATTTTAGAATTTTTTAGATTTATATAAAAATTGTAAATTGTATCAGTCTTCTATTTCACACATCCAGTTTTTACTATTAAGATCTTACAATAGTATGGTACCCTTGTTTTAATTAATGAACAAATACTAATGCATTATTATTTACTCAAGTCCATTCTTTATTTAGATTTCCTTAGTTTTTACCTAATATATTATTTCTGTTACCAGGCCTTATCCAGTTTACCACATTATATTGTAATAATCATGTCTTAGGTTACTCTTGGCTATAACAGTATCTCTAGACTTCCCTGTTTTTGATGACCTTGACAGTTTTGAGGAGTAATATACAAATATTTTGTACAAAGCCCCTCAACTGGGATTTGTTTCATGTTTTTTTTTTTTTTCCATGATTAGACTGGGGTTATGGTTTTGGGGAAGGAAGACCACAGAAGTAAAATGTCACTCTCATCACATCATGCTATCAATATGATTTATCACTGTTAATGCTAACTTTGATCACATGATTGAGGTGACCATTTCTCCCAAGTCAAGTTATTCTTTTCCCAATTTTCCATACTGTACTATTTTGAAAGAAGTTACACAGTGTAGGGTATACCTCCTTGAGAACTGAATAGCTACATGAATCATTTGGAATTCTTCTGCACAAAAGATTCATTTACTCTTTCCCATTTATTTAGTTGACCATTTATTTTTATCAGTATAAACTCATGAATAATATTTTATGCTTTGGTTATAACTCAACACTACTTCATTTTGTTGCACAAATTTTCCCAGTATTGGTCACTGGAAATTCTTTTACTGAGCTATGTCCCTTCAACAAAGCCCACTCACTATTCTTGTTTGGTATTCCTTATATTTCAGCATTATAATATGCTCCAGGTTTGCCTTTTATTTGTATCTTCTGGCCCAATCCTAAAACCAGCCATTTCTCCAAGGAGGACTTTTTAATAGGAAAATGGCATTAGAAACTAAGATCTGGGTACTAGATATGCTCATTGCTACTAAGTCATTGCTTCTAGGTCCTTTCAAGTTCACAGAGCAAGAAAATGACCCAGTGACCCTGGTTCTCAAAATCAAAACAATACATTCACTTGTACAAGTAGGAAAAAAAAAATATATATATATATATATCATTTGTTTCATATTCATTTGACACTGTAGAGGCAAAAGATAGGAAACAACTAAAGTGTCCACATAGGATCAAGTGACTACACTATGCTACATCCACATAATGAAATACTACACAGATCTTTAAAGATGAAAATCTTTGTCTAGTTATGGAAAGAGCTCCAAAATAAAATATACATTTGTTTATATTTGCAAAAAGAAACAGGAAAGATAAATAGAATACTAAAAGAAATGTTTACCTATAAAAGGTGTGGGAAGAAAACAAAGAGGAAGAGAACAAAGAGGAAACAAGACTTTTCTGTATCCCCCTATATACTGATTTACTGATTAAAAATATTTTTAAAAATTAGGTTGAATTTTTTAAAATAACTTAAAATGCCTACCAAAATAGAAGAATCTGAAGAGTTCAAATACTAAGGAAAGGGGAAAAAAATTCATTTCTGAAGAGTAAATACTATGAGACAAGGAAATCTGATTTAAGAGCTATTATGTACTGGAGCTGGGGTTGTGGCTCAGCGGTAAAGTGCTCGCCTAGCATGTGCGAGGTGCTGAGTTCAATCCTCTGTACCACATAAAAATAAATAAAATAAAGGTATTGTCTCCAACTACAACTAAAAAATAAAAATAAAAAAGGAAMTACTGTGTACCAACAGAGTATTTCAAGTCAAACTCAGTTGAATTTAATGTACTGAGACGCACTACAGTTGCTAAAATGAGCCTATTCATAGAACCTGTACCTAACTTAGTAACTATTTAAATGGAGAGTGTTATGTGATCTCATATTTAGCAGGGAGTTTAAGGAACTGCAAAATCATTTCTAAAGGTATAATTAATAGATGTATTCTTGATTATRAAATGTGCTGATATTTATAATTAAATAGAAGGGTTTATCATTTCTGCATTTTGTAAAYCTACTATTTATATTTCTGATTTCCCCCAACAAAATGGGGAAACTGATTTCTAACATATAGAAACATGTCCTTATTGAGAGATAAAAATGGCAAAGGGTTTGCAAATTAAACACATTTTTCCAAGTGTTCCTAAGAGATGTTAAAAACAATTTTCATCTCTCTGAGGTGAACGAAACTAGAAAAAAGAGGGGGAGAGGTGGTAAGCTCTTCATGGGGAAGCAACCCTTTGAGGCTATTTCTGAAATGTTAACATATCACAAAAGGACATCCATTCAACTTTCAGAAGCAGCTCACTTGCAATTATGCACAAAACTTTCCAAAATAGTTCATTATAGAAACATGATATTCTGCCTAAAAAATGTTCAATATGCAGCTCAATTCTATAGATTAAAAAACTCTTAAATTCCTTAACTGGGATATCTCTTTCTTTAACCTCATTGCCTACCACTACTACCTACACAGCAACCTTATTTCTTTATATGTACCACATGGAACTATTCATTAGATGGAAAATAACAAAAAATATTTTTAAAGAAATGTAAATCTTTTTTCATACCTCCCTTTTACAGCTTTTTAATTCTAGGAAGTGTTTCTCTACTCACAAAGCTTTAGCATTACCTCCTCTAAGAAATAGACCTAACATCTTAGGCAAAATGTCATGTTCTCCTTTCTTCATAACCACAAGTTCATCTTTGATGGTAAGACAAACTGATAAAATCTCTAATACACTACCTAATCTTTTACTGAGATGCTCTAACTGGTATAATCTGGACAATGGTTAAGAACAAATCTATTCCAATTCTTGATGCAACTCTTATAGACACGCTGACGTATTTAAGGTTCAAGTTTTATAGTAGAGAGGTAGTTTTGAAGAAACAATAAGAGACAGAGCTGAAAGAGTCAACTGCAATTTTCCTCCCATAACCAATTTTTTATCTTAATTCTACATTTTTTTGCAAGCCACTTATAAAAGTAGAATTTAAAAACATATAAGAATATCAAACTGTTGGGGGAAAAAACCTGAGTGTATCACCATATCAGGTAATAATATATATTATAAAGCAGCAATAATAAAAAACAACCTGAAAGGAGTATGTAAATAGGCAACTGAATAAAAAAATATGACTTTTAATAAAATTATACATAACTATTTGCTCTGAAATGAAGAAAATATCATTCAATATTTTTTTAAAAAAGAAGAAACTACAAAGATCCAAAGAATGTTAATAGTCTCCTTAGAAATTTGAAGTGAAAATACAAAGGTGGTGGAACCAATCAAAGAAATTCAAATACAAGTTATGGCATTCTTTCTACAAACCACTTATCAAAACCAAGTATTTTAAATATTGCAATACTAAAAATAGATGTGGTATATTATTAGTGGTACTGGGACTAATGGCAATCCCAGAAAAAAAGTTCATAGACTTTGATTTGAGAATGGCACTTCTGAGCATCTACTCTAAGGAAGTGAACATCAAAGTGGAGAGACAGGGAAGGAGGTGTCACATGCTCAAAATGTCACAGAATAATTTAAAATAGAAAAATATGAAAAATAATAATTTACATCAAACACTATAAAACAATTAAACCTTTTTGATGTACTGACAAAAAAAACCTAAAATGATAGCCATAAAAATTAATTGGGGGGGCTGGGGTTGTGGCTCAGCGTGTGCGAGGCCCTGGGTTCGATCCTCAGCACTACATAAAAATAAATAAATAAAATAAGGGTATTGTGTTTAACAAAAAAAATAAAATATCTTAAAAAAATAATTGGTATTTTTAAAAAATTCTTACATTAAATCATAAAAGTTATCTTAAACAAAAAGTATCTTTAAAAAACTATTTATTAAAAAAAAAGACAAGGAAATATCTGATGATAATGAGTACATCAGGGAATTTAGATTCTCTAATTTCTACATTGTTATATATTTTTAAAATAAATTTTAAAACATAATAATAGAGTCAGACAGAAAACAGTAAGATACTGAGAAGAAATAAACTAAAAGACTATGACAAAACCATTCACTAAAAGGATAAAAATAAATAAAACAAATGGAACAGAAGACTTTTGTACATAAACTTTAAAAGATTCTCCCCCCCAAAAAAAACTGATAAAACTAGAAAGTTCAAAGTAGAATTAAAAAGGGAAGGAAATATAAGATGTTAATATAGAATGAAGGAAAATTTAAATCACTTTGCCTTCACTTTAGTTTATGTGAGTGGATCTTTCCTTAACACTATGCTAAAACCTAAGAACAGCTTTTCTAAAACTCTAGAACCCATTAAGAATCACATAGAACATTAGAAACCCAAACCCAGGGACTGATTGAGTTGTTCTGTACTTGAAATTACACAGACAGACACACTTAGAGACACACTCACACATAGACACACACACACACACACACACACACACACACACATACACATTTAAAATATTTAAATTTTTTTGTTATTGCTGTTGTTTTTTTATCACACTTTTGAAATTCAGGGCAGGGCCACTCACTGACTTAGAAGAACAAAATATCATAAATGATAATATAAGATAATGAATAATAAACATCCAAGCAGATTTTTTTAGACAAAGAATAAAATGCAACATTAGTTTCTTCTTTTAAGTAAGTTTTATGACCAGTTATTTTACTTTAATTTTTAAAAACTTAAGTTACACATAAGAGTCATTAACAAAGAATGAATATTCTTTAGACTATTTAGATGTCAAACAATGGTAGAAGCACAGATCTAAACAAGGGAAATGGAACATGGGCAAATGGTTAAGAGAAAAATTTTACTGGCCCTAAGAAACAGCTTATCATCAATGTACTTACTGAAAAAGTAAGGCTTCTTTATTCTTAATGGCCATTAGTTAAGAAACAACAATGAGAGAGTCAGGGGTATAGCTCAGTGGTAGAGTACTTGTCTAGAATACATAAGGCCCTGTGTTCAATCCCCAGCACCCCTAAAAAATAAAGAAAAGAAACAATAATGAATACCCTAGATTATTTTGTCCTCACCCGCACCTCTTCCCCCAGTATACATGAAGGACACACCGTATATCCATTAGTAATACCAGTTCACTACAGGAGTGATTTCTCAAATTGAGTGGGTGGAGAGGTATATTGGAAAATCCAGGAGGTATGAATAGTTTAAAAAGCCAAAGAGATGATTTTGATTCAACAGTCCCTGTGAATCACTAATTTAGACATTCATCAACCTGAAGGAATAGATTGGTTAAATAAATTTACTACCATTATCAATAATTCTTCTCATTATATAAAGAATAACAAAAATAATTGCTAACTGTGAGTGYTCACTAGGTGCAATACTTTGCAAATTGCTTTACATCCATTATTTCAAAATCCCAGAACACTATCAAATAGGTTTTCTGTTCTTTCCCAATCTGACCTTAAAGAGTTAACTATCTCATAATCCCATAATCATGTTACTGCTCAAGTAGTCTTTATGATATAAAAAATGAAAACATATTCTAGACTATATTAAATAGAAACTTGGGTTGTAGATTTTTTCCAAAAAAATGATACCTAACATAAATGTTTCAGTCATTTTATAGCTTCCTGGGGGGTGAAGGTGGAAATCAGAGAGAAAAGAAAGTTTAAATAATAAGAATATATACTGAAAAGGGAAAGGTCAGCAAAAACATATGCTGACTAATTTATTACAAAATACAATGCTGACTCTACTCTTTCTGAAAAGATAAATGTAGGTAAATCATGATTTCAAAAATTTAACTATTATAAAAACTTTCCATGTATTATGACCATATAATAAGTTGAAGGATTTTAAAAAGCACTAAATCTCATAAACTATGAAAATTCATTTTTAAAAGTCATATTTCAAAYACATTGTTATGATTTATATATTAGGTGTCTCCCAAAAGCTCATTTGTGAGACAATGCAAGAAAGCTTAGAGGCAAAACTGGGCTAGGACAGCCTTAACCTAATCAATGCATTAATCGCTAATAGGGGTTACCTGGGTAATAAGTAACTATAGGCAGTAAGGATATAACTGGAGGAGGTAGGTCACTGAGGGCAGGCCCTTGGAGTATATATTTGGTCCCTCTCTCTGCTTCCTGGTGTGATGTTCTGAGCTGCTTTCCTCTGCCACAATCTTCCACCATGATGTTCTGCCTCACCTCCAGCCTAGAACAAAGGAGTCAACCATATATGGACTAAGACCTCTGAAATCATGATCCCCCAAGTAAAATTTTCCTCCTCTAATTGTTCTTGTGAGGTCTTTTGGTCAAAGAAATTAAAAAGCTGTCTAAAAAACACTGTTACCAAGCCATAATCTCTGATTTCTAAAGTAAGTCTATTAATATACTACTAAAGCAAAAGTAAAATTTAAAACTCACTTTTTAAAGTCTTTAATTTTAAAAGTAAACCATAAAATAGTTTTGAACTAACTATAGTAAGTCTATTGAAAAGCAAACTCCTAGTCAACTGTATACATAAACTATCAAGGTAGCAGAAATTACATTAAATGTACTACTCAATCCTCTGAGAACAATTCTGCACTTTACTTTAGTAAATGTATTTAAGTCTAGGACTGCAAAAATACCTGAATTTTATTAGAGATAAAATATTCTCCCTTAAATCAAATTTTACTATTGATATTTACCAATGCTTGACCTTTAAAAATTGACCTTTAAGGGGCTGAGGTTGTGGCTCAGTGGTAGAGTGCATGCCTAGCATGTGTGAGGCACTGGGTTTGATCCCCAGCATCACATAAAAATAAACAAACAAAATAAAGGTATTCTGTTCATCTACAACTAAAAATTTTAAAAAAGCATTTTCTTTACATATAATAAATAATGTAATGCTATATATATTTCAATTTGTCTAAAAGAATAATCTTTGAAGGCTACGTCACTTTCCTATTTTCACTAACAAGTTAATACAGACCACATGTAATTAACAATTGGCCTAAAAACTGCTTCTAGATTACTCTCAACCAACTATCATTAACACTGTATAGCTCCAATATTCAAAACCTTTGTTGACTTTTTTATTTTCTACTGCATCAAAATTTACTTTTGAGTCGGGTGCAATGGTGCACACCTGTAATCCCAGTAATTCTGGAAGCTGGAGGTAGGAAGATTGTGAGTGCAAAGCCAGTCTCAGCAACTTAGTGAGGCTCTAATTAACTCAGTACCCTGTCTCTAAATAAAATATAAAAAAAGGGCTGGGGATGTGGCTCAGGGTTAAGCACCCCTAGGCTCAATCCCTGGTACTAATGAACGAAAGAAATAAAAATTTACTTTTGACTGCTTCTAGGCCATGACTACTCTGACTCTAATTTATTAATCAATAATGAAGCAATCAATGTTGCTTCTCCTAATCCCAGCATTAAACAATATATAATATGGGGAGAGTACAGGAAAAAAAAAGCAGGCCCTCTGGAGCACAATGTCAGTCAAAAGAGGGAGAGAGAGTCTTGAAAATGACATTTGACCTCAAAAATAAAAACTTCTCTCCAAGGAAATGTCACAGCATTGTAATTTCAACATATCAATCTCTTTGTCTTTGAATTACAGCACCTACCAGTGTCTAGTACACATTCCCATTCTCCTCTGATCTCTTTTTTTTTAGTACTAAAAAACACACATATTAACTTTAGAAGACTATCTCAATTTAGAATAATAAGAACTTCCATGTTGTTAACTGGTAATTTCTCACAAATTTATTAATTTTTATCAACTTTTGTATTATTGAACATTAAGACATACTAAAAATAATGTCATCGATTAAAATATAGCTGGATTAAATATATGACATGAGAAGACAAAGTTAATAACTAACCTAGAATAGAGGGAAAGAATAATTATCTTTGGGTATTTTTCCCATATTTTACAAACATACAAACAAACTTTAGAAAATTCTTGAAAGTATTTAAATTATCTGTAAAAAGAAACAAGAATGTGTTACTAAAATATAAACAAAGCAATTTTTATATTAAATTAATATGTATGGCAACAAAAAAAAGCAAGTTTCTTTTCACTCTTTCTCAGGTTAAAGAACCATCTTCAGGAAATAACATTTTCTGTTCTTTAAATGTGAGCATGAGATAAGATATATATATATTAACAGTAGTAATTTGCTATTTTTATGTCGTAAGGATCAGTTTTCGATAGAAAAGTCATGACAAGAAATGAATAATTTGGTCTCATTTCAATTTAATTGTACATAGTCATATATGAATGAAAATGTGTTCAAAATATATGCCTTACTTACAATAAGCAATACCAATACTAAAACCCAATGGGTACCTGTGCGTATAAAATTTATCTGCCTTTAGGAAAAATTTTCACTCACTAATGGAGCAACCTATATAGCATATGCATCTGGATTGCTTTGGTAGCACATCCTCAAAATACTGTRAGCTAATTTTAACACATGTAAAATCAAAACAAATAAGTAAACACATAAGTAAAATTAAAAAGAAAACAAAGTAGAAATACTTCCATAACAATGCCACTTATTTTTTTGCTTTCCAACATTCATATTCATTTCATCTTATGCATAAAGAACTGATAAATTCATGATTTTAAATAAATATGCAAATATTTTAAATATCTTTTTAGCATCCAATTTGAATTCATTGAGTAATAAACATGTTCTATGTTATTCATTTTATATGGCTCCATTTTAAGTAGTAAAAGTAACTTAATTAAGTTTAAATCCAATTTTGATTAGAGTTTCCAATTTACCACTGTTAATAAAGAACAAACGTTAATACTGAACTAATTTTTCAGCATTTCATGCCAGGGGAAGCACTAAAGCATAATAGTCTGAATGCTAAAATGGAATCTCAGGATCACTGTAGTGGTAGGACCCTGGAGACAATTATTTAACCTATAGTCCTTATTTTACTCATCTGAAAACAGGTATAATACCTATATGATGGACTTTTTGTGAAGACTTAACAAAACAATATAGTACCTAGCAGAGGATGTCATTAATGTTAATTTCTTTCACAAAGTTTATGTTATGCACTGAATGTTTAAGTGACCCCCCAAATTTCTAAGCCAAGATTCTAATCTCCCAGAGTGAGAGTTCCAGATGTGAACCTCTAGGAGGTAATTAGATTTAGATTAGGTCCTGCAGGTGCGCATTCATAATGAGATTTGTGCCATTACAAGAGGAAGAGAAAAACAGCTCTCCCTCTCTATCATTCCTCCCCTTCACCTACAAGCACCAGAGGAAAGTCCAGGAGACCCATATTAGGAAGGCAGCCCTCTACAAAGCAGGAAGCAGGCCTTCACCGAAACTCTAAATTGGCACCCCCATATCAAACTTCTAGATTCCAAATCTGTGAGAAAATATGTTGTTTTTTAAGCCAACMCACTGTATAGTATCTTGTTATGGCAGCTTGAGTATACTAAGTTAGGTTATTTTAAAATGTATTTTTAAAAAGAGACTTTGGAAAACAAGATAATTTTCATGTCATCCCAATATGCTATGGATCTACAAATCTACCTCCTCAAATACAGTATCCACTACCATAAGTTACTGCAGAACACAATAACAACATTATTTGATTTACTGGTAGATGTCTATTGATTTTCCAAGTTGGCCAACAGGGAGAGAAAATAGGGCAGGAACAACAGAAAGCTACACTCAATACATTTTTCTGGCCCTTGGCAATTCTTCTTTCCAGGTCAATATTTCGCAGACATCAAAAGTAAACACCAACTAACTATACTGTAAGCAAAATAATGACAAAGAATCCACTAATGACAATAAGAATTCTTGAAAGTCAGTCTAGGGCTGGGGCTGTAACTCGGTGGCAGAGAACTTGTATGAGCCAGGCACTAGGTTCAATCCTCAGCACCACATAAAAATAAGCAAATAAAATAAAGGCATTCTGTCCATCTATAATTACAAAAAAAT